GGTGGTGTCTCTAGTTTAAGCATGGTTAGGGCATTTTTTAAATAGCTCTACTTTTCTTAGTTTGACAGGAAAGGATTTAAAATCTTTGGATGCAGAAATTTGGCAAAATTCAAATTTAATAGATGTTGGACTAGATACCACAAATGCGATGACATCCTTATCTTCTTCAGAAAAAATTCTATGTCCTAATAATTCTATTCCTCTTTTCTGAGGCTAAGTCGAGGATAACAGAATATTTAACAGCATTGGAAGATACCAAAAAGAAACGAAACTTAATTTGTTTATGCAAGGAACTTCAAAAAAAGTGTAAAAAATAAGATATGTTATTAATGAACAAAAAATTCTTGTTATTAAATTCTTGTTTTAATTCTTTTTTATTAAGTATGTTCCAAATCTTTGTTTTGTTGCTCCAAAATTGCTTTTTTCTTGTTCCAAAACCATGTTTTGCCACTTGCACCACTTGCAAAAAATCTCATTTTTAAAATGGAATTCCCCCCCCCCCTAATTTCATCCTGTTCCAAATATCTGAACTCCTAACAAAATCACCACTCAGGCATATTTTATTAGAATATAAAACTATTTTATCATGTTCTTTAAAAATTATGGTGTTTTTTCAAAAAAAAATGAAAGAAAAAACATCATTTCTAGAGGGAATTATCTATTAAACTCTTCTGTGATTTAAAATTTTTTTTTCATTCCGAATTGAGAACAGAAAAATCAGGAGTATTTCTTTCCTTTCTGATAAGCAAGAAAAGTTTCTTTAGAATATAATTCTATAGAAAAAAAATAATTTGCTTTTGTATTTTTTTCAGCTATTTTATTGTTTCAACTCTTTCTTTACTCTGTTTTTGACCCTACAACATACCCTATCTTAAATGGACCCCTCAATATAGGGTGACATTTCTGGTCATGAGTTGCTGGAAAATTCTTATGATGTGCCCAAACTTCCTTCCACGTTCTGTCCATCTTTTATAAATCACTCTATACATTAGTTCAAGTGTGAAATTAAATTTACTTGATCAAATTTTGTATTTTTTAGTACTCAACTAAGAATTTCTTTTGTGAAAATAAGATGAGAATAATTAAATCAACTAAGAACTTGTTTCGTGTTATTAAAATGCATTTATTGAATTGAAAAACAAATATTATAATAATTGTAAAATTAAAAATACAAATAATGAATTTGTTCTATATGATGAAATTTTAATTTACAGGTTTGATGGACAGTTGTTACATTTGTTAGTGTGCCACAATGAAAAATTTGGTACTCAAATTCAAAAACATGTTAAGGAACTTGTTGCTCATGAAATGAGTCCCACATTATANAACTTGTTCTATATGATGAAATTTTAATATACAGGTTTGATGGACAGTTGTTACGTTTGTTAGTGTGCCACAATGAAAAATTTGGTACTCAAATTCAAAAACATGTTAAGGAACTTGTTGCTCATGAAATGAGTCCCACATTATATCCGATTCTTTTTGATCAAATAAAAGCTATTGTAGAAAAGGTTTTTGATTTGCAGGATCAAGTAAGTTGTTTACTTTTATTTCTCTATATAATTAATAAATAAAATCAGTATTTAAAAGTCAATTATTTGTGATAATGTCAGATTCATTGTAGAAAATTTTGAAACTTGATGACCTTAGTTAAGTAAATGCTGAGGACTTATAAAAAGTGTATATATTAAAGAAGCCTCAAAAAAGTAACATAAAGCTAAAATCGTTAATTGTGGAGTGTTTTCAGGAAGTAAATATACTTCACCGTTAACACCAAAGGAGAAGTCTCTGTGAGTCCATGGGCAATACGAACTATAATCTTGAAGGTTTCACTGAGGTTATTCGTTATTTTTATGTTAAGCTTTGTTTCAGCAGCACGTCTTTATAATGTCTGCATCAGTTTAGAATACCGCCAGGTGTAAAGTGTATTCCATGATAAGTTTTCGTCATTCAAAAGGTTACGTATGGTAATAAGTTTATAGTTAATATATATAGGTAATAGTTCATGTAAGCAAAAGGCGTACTATTCAAAACAAGCGCTTGATGACATAAGAAGTTTGCTTGTTGTATGACAGCACTCATTCTCACACTGTGCAAGAGTTTCAAATGGAAAATTTCAGGTCATCCATCATACATCCTGTGTCTTGTATCCAGCTTTCCAGCCCAGCAATTATTTCTTTACTGGAAAAACATATTTTGCAGGGCAAAACTTTCACAGGGATAATGAAATTATAACTTACGTTGAATTCATGGTTTTTCAAACAGCAATATATGTAGCAAAATTATCCCTCTCCAAGAACAAAGACTGAGTTTATATATCTGGAAAAAAACAAGTATTTATTTACACCTAAAATAAGATAGTTCAAAACTGAAATATATTCACATGTCAAATACTTATTAAATTTCTAGTTTTGTAGATGCATAAATTGAAAAAAAAGGCTATAAAATGAGATAGCCTTTAAAATTTATTTACATGTTGTGCGTGTTTGATGTGCACAAAAAGTATGATTTTGTTTATAACACGCAAAGATGTATTTATAGAATAAATTTCCCTCTTGAAGAAATACATAAATGTAAAAATCAATGAAGGATGATCTCATATTAATAGCCATCTCACTCACACTTGTCACATCTCAAGCACAATTTTGCATTTGACGAAATAATAATATATCTGAAGAAGTGACTCAAAACAGACTGTCATCCCCTCAACAAGCCTTAAGTCATGAAGGAATGTTTGCTTTTGCATAATACGTGGCAAAAATCGACATGGTAAAGAAGAATCTCATTTTCGAAAAGGTTAAACGAAAATCTTTATTTGATGTCAAAATGTGCAATGACAGGTGATAGCCAGCGGTAACTCGAGTGAGTAGAGCATGGTTTTTAAATGGAAATATGTTCACGCAATCCCTAGTATTAGTATTTAATAATAATATTGCTGACGTATACCTGTGAAGGCAGTGCGATTGTTCTCTTTTTTCCAGTTTAAATTCCTTGTTTTCCAAGAATTCGACTTCTGTCACACCCGTTCACAGAGTCGACCCATCCACAGATCGTCAGTTTGACCTGAATCAGAGAACGATCCAATTCAGTACCCCCCCCCAAGAGGTATTGATTTGTTATGGGAACGTGGAGGACTTTGTGACTCCATAGATTCAAAGTGCATCAGTCACCATTTACTGCACGGGGAGTCTTCGGCCGGCGGGGTTCGAACCCACAGACTCTTGGACAAGGCTATCCCGGACCCTAGTATTTAATGTTTATTCATTAAAATATAGAGAAAAGGCAACAATAACTATACTAAATAAAATATATTTACTCCTCATAATAATGCCTTTTCCTTTTGTTCATTCCTTTTTCATTGACTGAATAGAATATTTATAGGATCATTAAATGAAAAATACATGTCAGAACTACTTCATTTAAGTAATATATTATTTAAGCAATAATGCAAATAATACTCCAAACCACTCCTACTATGTCTTATCTACTGTCTATTCATTGTTTTTAAGAATGCCTTATTTTCATGCATTGAATCTTCAGAATTTCATGTTTTTATTTTTAAAAATTCTCTTGAAATTTTATATTTATTTATAAAAATCTAGGCTTTTTTCATTAATTACATACTTTATAAAACATTAAAATGTCATGCAAAAGTGATGTAAGATGATTTTTTTTTCATAAATGAAACTTACATTTACACCATTGGGACGGTATAGCCTGGTCGGTAGGGCGCTGGGCCCATCTCCGAGAGTTCGCGGGTTCGAACCCCGCCGACCTCCCCGTGTCATAAAATGGTGATTGATGCACGATAAATCTGTCGAGTCGCAAAGTCCTCCATGTTCCCATAACACATCAAAACCTCTGGGGGTACTGAATGGAAACAAAAGTGTACCATGCAAGAAATAGTCTGGTCGAAAAATTGATTGCTACAGAGTGACAACTGATGTTAAGCAGAAAAAGATTGAAAATCCACCAAAACAGTTGAGACGACAGTTTGCTTAAGCAAATCGAAGTAAAATTAACGCCTAGTAATGAAAGTAGTATTTACGAAGTAGGTTGCTGTATAATTTAGAAAGTATTATCTGTATGATATGGAAATAATGTACTTGCTAAAAGTGAAGCATTGGTAGATAGCACGATGAAAAAGAAAATGGAAAAACAAGCGGACATAAGCCAATCAGCGAGAAAATGGCATCTAGTGACATTATATATGAAGTAGAAAACGAATCAAACATTAAGATGCAGGAAGATGTCCGCGAAATCTTGAATCGCTTCTCGGAATCTTGGACACAAACTCAATTTCGACAATGCTTTAATTATTTTCACGCAGCTCATCTTGATGCCCTGGAATCTTGTTTTATTCGTTGATTCCTTTGTTAACGACATTAGTTCCTCTCCATAACGTGTGGAAATGCATTTTATCCTGATTTGCCTTTTTGTTCTCTTTTCATCTTTTTTTCTAATTTTGTTTATCAGCTCTATTTTTCCATTATTCGCTGGCAACATTACGTTTTTATTTCAAATAACCTTTTTTCTTTACATTCACTTCTTGCAAGTCTTGAAAATGGGCGCCTATTTTTAAAGTGCTTGAAACGTGTCGATTATTCTTCATAATTCTATATTTTAAAAGCGAATAAAATTTTCCTCAGGCAGGTAATATGAGGACCCCATTATCTTTAATGAATCATGAATCACCCTAATTAATCTGTATATTAGCTATGTTAACCTGTAGAATAACTAATTTCGACACTATAACGGTAACAGAGCCAAAACTATAGAATAATCTATCATTTGATTACAAGAAAGATCTGTTTTATTCTTCGATTTTGGGATATTCGAGATTCCGCCTCGACTTTGTAACACTCTTAGCGTTCTAGATATTAACGTCTATTAATTGTATGAACTTTAACATTAATGAAGCTTCAAAAACAGAGGGTAATCGGAAATAGGAAGTGTGACAAAGAAAAATTTGCTTCCTGTTTGGCTATTCATTCAAGAAAACTATTGATGCTCAACAGTTAATTTTAAGATCCGCTCCTCCTTGTGTCAGGTAGTTATTATTATTTTTGTCTAAGAATGTTTCCAATTAATTCCTTAAAAATCAATTAATTATAGAGTAGTTAAACTACTCAGCTTTTAATAGGTGCCGTTTAGTTTTCCAGTTTTGCGCAATATAGTATTGTTTTCATTAATTTATTGCATTTTAATAACTTTTGGCTGTTAATTTGATATAAATAATGGTTCTAAATTAATTTGATTTGCTAATAATTGGAACGTTTTAAATTATAATTTATTGACGCGATGTGTTTGATATTACTTAGCGTCTCAATTGCGCATAACTGCAAACTCTACAATTCTCCACAATTTTGAAAACGTTTCTATGAAAGTTACTGAAATGAATTATTTCTGATTTAAAACAAGACAGACAATCTAATCACTTATTTTATTTTTAATGAGTTTGCAATAAATAAGTGTTATTTCCGGGATCGTTCATGTAGTAAAATTTTGTGCGGTGTTTCCAAAGTAGTGAACTTTCTGATTGAAACATTTTATATCTTCGTCAAATTCTGAGGGTGCAGTGTATTTCCAGGGGTGGCGTAGCTCCTCGAAATGACGGTATTTTAACATAATTATTTGGAGAAAAATTTCAACTTGATTTCGTTAAACACAAAATTTATAAGAAAATTGCAGTTTTTTTCTGAACTTTACAACGAGAATATTTCTGGCTGTTCGTATAGTGTTCTCGGTGTTGACATTTGGCGCGAATTTGTTTTAGCTAATAACGAACAAAAAACTAACACTAAATTCTGATTTCCTTTATATGCACACTATGTTTCGCCTGATAAGGTGATAAACAATCAACATTTGATTTCTTTTTTCTTACGAGACGAAAGAGCTAAAAGTCATGATATTCAAAAAAAATTTCCTACCCAAGTACCACAAAGCATCAGGCAATATCTTAATGATATCAGAGAGATATTTGAAATTTTCAGGAATTGAAGCATGACTTTTTTTTCATTTTTGATCTTTCATGAAGAAATTAAATTTTACATGCATCATTACATTAATAATAAACATTGCATTACATTAATGAATGAAAGTAATATTTTCCTCATTACATTATAAGATAGCAAAAATCATGCTATTAACCACTAACTACGAAATGCTCTTTCACAAAACTATGATTGTTATATATTTTTTTAAACAAATGATCTTTTAAAAAAATAGATAAAAACAACAATTAAAGAGAACAATAAAAACAGAGATAATCAAAAGGCAACTATAGTTTGTCTGCGGTAGGAACTCCCTCCGCCACAAGGTCTGAGGCTGCCTGCTGCTATGGAAACAAGAATAGCCCATTTCAGGGAGGGCAGCTTCTCTTCACTTTAGGGTTGACACAATAGACTGAAGAAAAAGATTCCCTTTCTCTCGCCAAACCCAGTCCTAAACAATCACCCCACACCCCTTCAAGAAATTATTATACCTCGTTATCATGGTCACCGCCACGGGTCCAGACGAATGGCAAGGGGAGTTCTTACTTTAGACAAACAATACGGGGGTTGGTGAGTGGAGCTAGATAGTAAATCAAATGGATACTAATATACTTTTGACAATAATATGAAGTGTTGATAAATAATCATTACAACTAAAAGTATTATGTTGTTTTCTTAATTAAAATAGCCACTGACTACAATTGCAATCTAAAAAAATAGTACCTAAATTATGTTTCATCGAAAAATTGATTTATAGTTCTTAAATTTTGTTTCGTTGAGTTCGAATTATAACAACTTTAAATAAAAATTTACTTGTTTTTAAGACAGCCCTTACAAAAGTGATAATTATGAAATTATTTAGTTAAATTATGTAATAAATTATCGAAAATTTTTAATTTTTTAAGGCTTTTAAACAATAAAATGAAAAAATAGCTGTTTGGGGTTTTGGGATTTAAGAAAACAGTAACTTTTAAAAAAATTCTGAAGTTTAGAAAAATTATTGGGGTGGCACGCATCTCCCCCCGCCTCTAATCCAACTCTCTCTCTTATAACAGTTTTTGCTGAAAATTTAGCAGTTTGTGAAAGGGGCAATTGTATCTACCGATGCTAAAAATTATCCAAAAGATATTTGAACTATGGAATTTTTTCATTGGTTTAGAACTAGCAATTGAGTCTTTGGAACTCGAGAAAAAGTATACCTGATTAGGCCTAACCGTGAGATTTAAATCATATGGTTAGATCTAATCACGTGGTTATGCATGGCGAGTCAACGTAACAGCAATTAGGCTTATTGTTGTCACACTGAATCAATTTTTGAATTAGATTTGACTGGATGGATGCAATAACCGACGTTAAGCGTGTGTCGAATTCAATTGACTTCTAAGTCGTGGCATAAAGGAATTGTCCACGATGAAGTCGCATGCTAGTATCCGATTGATAAAAATGAAACTGCGGACAATTCTGTTTTTTTTTTATATTTTAAAGATTACATCGATAACATTTGCTAGCTTATAGCTCTCTATAAAAAAAGGAGTTTACGGCACAATTTTTTAATATTTAATTATTTCTTGTTCGTTATGTGCGATAAGCTCAATAATCAACGCTACCTTGGCAGCTTAGGGGGACTAGGTTTCCAAATTAGTATTCCTGTAGTTACATAAGCCACATGCTTATTTTGTTTATAGTTAAGCACCAAAAAGTTATTCCTATTAAACTAAATAATTTGAAATCAACTGTTTTTGAAATAAGAAAAAAGCTACTTACTGAAAAGCAAAATTAATGGAGAAATAGTACTAATTCGCTTAGAAGAAACGTAAAAATTTCATACACGAGTACTATTATTGTCGGCAATTCTTGATTAATTTCGGCAATAGGTACTAATAATTGAAGTTAAAAAAATAAGCCACGAATTTTATTCAGAAATGGTTATTGAGGAGAAGCGTGAAAAATCGCTATACTATTATTTACGCCAATAATGCTTTACTAATTTGGGTTTTGAAATAAAAAATAACAATTTATTGACTAAAAAACAAAGTTAATGAAGGCGTTTAGGGAGGAGGACTGTAAAAAATCGTCATATTATTATTCACGCCAACGCTGTTCAATTAGTGCTCGCCATAATTGAAGCAAAATTAATGGGAAAATATTTAATAGAAGCTTAAAAAAAATCTCCGAACATTTATTTACCCAATGATGCTTAATAATTTTGGGGTAATAGACGCTGATAATGGTCTGGCGCAGATTAAATGGGTACCAAACATACTGATTTTGCTGTGTTATGTTATGCTATAACTGTATCATTATGATCCCTCGAAAGGGATCTTCAGTTGGTCACAGAATCATACTAGAAGATAATCATTGATGAGATAAATTACTAAAAATGTATTATCTGATAAGGTAGATGGCTCAGGGAACCGGACTCGAATATCAGCGATGGCTGGTCGATACGAATTCCGGCTTGCACCAACCACAGTGTCGATGTAAAATATCCTCAGTGGAAGACGGATCATGGGTTAGAGTCCCCTTACCGTCAGGCTAACCGTGGGAGGTTTTCGTGGTTTCCTTTCCTTGTAACGCAAATGCGGGTTAGCTTTATCAAAAAGTCCTCCAAAAAGGCAAATTTCTTCCAATCCTCGATCCTGGAGTTCCCTTGTCTTCTGTATTGGGTTCAAAATGACAAGGCTACTGAGTTGAACATGAGAAGTCGTTAAAATTGGGTCGGCTTTTCAACAAAATAAAATGAAATAAAATCTGATAAGGTAAAGGAAAAACAAAATATGGTATTAAATAAGATAATTATTAATTGTCTTTCAGTTTTGAGTATGATTTAGTAGTGTTGTTCAGCAATGATTCACGAAAAAGTATTCAACTAGTAGGAATTGTCGTTATAACCACTTATTTAATGAAAACATTTTGGACAACTCTAAAGTAGACTCTGTAAATTATAAAATGTTTTCCAAATCATAAGACACTAATTGATTGCAGTGAATCATTACTAGAAATGAAGTTCTTCCAGTTCATAGAGCTCACAGCGACAGAAAAACACTTCTATACAAATACCACGTCCGGGTCACCAATGTGGGGAGTGCAGATAGGAACAGTGTCAACCCTCATCTATGTTAAGGTACCCCAACATAGAATTGAGTTAACATGTCTTATATACTAGGGAATTGGAATTGTAGCTTTGTAGTGGTAGATACACTACAGTACTCCTCCACCCGAATTTTATCCGTGATAGATTTCAATGAAAGGATACCATCAGCTGATTCACTGTTGTTTCGTGAGAAGCCGGGAGAGCTGTATTAAGATCACCATAATTTCTTGAGTGCTGATCGTGAGAGCTGTATTAAGTTCACGGTCGTGGTGGCTTCCGTGTTACCATTAGTAGTCGAGTGTATACGTTGTACGCTGTGTGTGTTCGAGACTGAGAAGCAACAGCGTGAGGAGGACAGTGCCGCAGTCACAAGTAGCAAGTCAACTGTCCAATGTGGATCATCCATTGGTTTAGGCGTGTTCAAATCGCAGTGGGCGTTTCTGCCAAGGTAGGCGTGTTCACATCACGTCCGGGTCACCAATGAGGGAGAGTCACATCAACCCTGTTAACTCGATTCCATGTTGGCGCACCATAGCATAGATGAAGGTTGACAGGGTTGATTTGACTCTCCCACAGATCTTTCTCAAAAAAGAATCATTTTTAATTGTTTACGATTATGCGATTTCTCATACTTAACAATGAAGTTTAAAGCTTTCAGAAGTTTGAGGGAGCAAAAAATAAATTACAAACGAAAAATAGTGTTTTTGAACACCCTATGCCAAAAAATGTAGCAATAAATTTGAAACAATTACTTTGACGATAATTGCCCAAAATTTTTCAAGCATAGATTTATGGAGATATAGACATTTTTATAGAAAATTATTTTTTTTTCCTTGTCTTAAGTTTTTTTTGCGATAACTTTAAGAATATTCAATAAAATTAAACAAAATTTTTAGGGTAATTTTAAATGAATTACGAAACTATTTCTTTAAAGTTTGAGAAAAATTTGTTTCAAACAGTGCGTGATATGAATAATTAAAGTAGTTTTTTTATACTGAGCAGGGGAAAAATTAAATTTGTTTTTTCTTAATTTGGTAGTGAATCGTATTTAGCAACTAATGAATAAAGTTTGATCCAAATATCTTAAAATTTTAAAAAGGTTCAAGTAGTTTTCTAAGTAGTATTCGTACTTTTTAAAGAAAGCTCAAAATAATAAGGGGTTTTTCTCAAATTTTATTTCTCTACTATTAAACAAGATTTATTAAAAATGACACTAGAAAAATCATCCTCCATCAAAGTATCTCTTCTTTTTTGTTTGTATTCCTTCCTCATACGAACAAATTTCGGTGTATAAACATTTATTGTAGTGTATTATCATTTGTTACTTAATTTGGTCTTATAATTACAAATAATATTCTTAGAAAATCCCATATCATTTAAAAAGTACAAAAACTTCTTAAATTGCTTGACACTTTTTAAATTTTTAATATTTTATTTTATTTTATAACCGTTGTTGAACAGCCGGCCCAATTTTTTGGGTTTACGACTACTAATGTTCAACTCTGTAGCCTTGTAATTTTGAACCCAATCCAGAAGACAAGAGAACTCCTGGATCGAGTATTGGGAGGAATTTGCCTTCGTGGAGAACTTTTTGATGGAACTAACCCGCATATGCGTTACTTGGAGAGGAAGACCCACGAGAACCTCCCACGGTTATCCTGACGGCAAGGGACTCTATCCCATGATCCGTCTAACACTGATGATCAGCCCTATGGTCGGTGCAAGCCGGATGCGGAATTCGTATCGACTGGGATTCGAACCCGGTTCGCCTCATTGGGAGGCGAACGCTCTGTCTCTTGAGCCACCGCGGCTCTAAATTTTTAATATATTCAAATCTGTCTTTTTTTTCATTAGCTGCCAAATATTATTCACTACAGGTTTAAGAAGAAAAAAAGTTATCTTTCCGCACATGAGCAATATAAAAGAACTTCTTAAATTACTAATTTTTTTTCTCAAATTTTGAAACAATAATTTTGCAATCTATTTTAAATTGCTCCAGAAATTTTGTTTAATTTTATTGAATAGTTTTAAAATTAACGCAAAAAAAAAGCGAAAGACAAAAAATATTATAATTTTTTTATAAAATTGTCCATTTCTCTATTACTCCAAAAATATACATTATTTTAAACATAACGTGCAATAATTTCGTGTAATTATTGCACATTACATTTAAAATAATTGTTACAAATTTATTGCTACATTTTTTGGCATAGGGTATACAAAAACACCACTTTTTTCGTATTTTATTGTATGAGAAATTGCATAGCCTGAAAACTTAAAAATTTATAAAATGAAACTTTTTTTGTATTTCTTCAGAAGTATGAAAAAATGTTTTAGTGTAAAAGTGTTTCCATTATTTCGTCCAACCCCAAGAGAACGATGGCGGCAACGTGATTAGTAACGCGCACCAGCCGCCTTGTTTCCTAGATAAGTTTGTACTAATCGATCTATAGCTTCAATCCACGGTCGGGAAATAAGACCTTCACAATGACAACTCTTTTCTTTAAAGACTTCAAATCAGACTGTTTCTCTATGTGAGAGGATGTCTAATTATTTTGTCTGATTTCTTCACCCATTAATAAGAAGATAATAAGTCATTTTCGCCATTTTGCTAAGGTTAGGCAATGGAACCCTATTATGTCTCATTGTGGGATCCTTAATTCGTTTATAATTTTGCCACTTGATGTGATAGTCTAGTAGGTTATAGCGATATATCTGACCAAGTTTCAAAACTATAGGTTAATATTAAGAGAAGATACAAATAGGCTCGCTGAGCCCAAATGATTCGTCTATACAGGGGTGTCAAACTCAAAAGCTAACTTGGGCCAAATAAACAATGTTCACTTTTAGGTGAGCCGCAAAAAAAAATAATCAGTGTTAATAGAAACAAATATTTTTATTTTGAATAGTATATTGTAATAAACATATGTAAAGTAAAATTATTGTTTGATATTTGACATATCTTCTCTGCTACTATTTTTCCTATTTCGGGCGAAATTTTATTTGCCGAGACAACTTTCAAAGTTGACCCAACGTGAGCTTTATTAACACGGTTTCGGACAGGAGATTTATTTCCATTCATAGCAGAAAATAGTTGTTCGCACTGATAAGTACTTCCGAACATGGAAATAATTTCATATGCGAATTTTCGAGTATTTTCAAACCTAGCAGGTAAATATTTGTAAAATTCGGGCACACTCACTTCAATGAATTTCGTTTTCAAATTTGAGTCGCACTGAATCTCAATCACTTCCATTTGCATATTACTGGGCACTGAGTCTATATTTATTGAGAAAATCGAAGAAAACAAACAAAATTTGTCTCCCAAAGAATTAAAATCTTTAAACCTTGTTTCAAATTCTGTTCTAAGATTTTATTTTTATTTTATAACCGTCGTTGAACAGCCGACCCAATTTCATGGGTTTACGACTACTTACGTTCAACTCCGTAGCCTTGTAATTTTGAACCAATCCAGAAGACAAGGAAACTCCTGAATCAGTACCCCCAGAGGTATTGATTTGTTGTGGGAACATGGAGGACTTTGAGACTCGACAGATTTAACGTGCATCAGTCACCATTTACTACACGGGGGGTCTTCGGCCGGCGAGGATCGAACCCACGACCTCTTGGATATGGGCCCAGCGCCCTACCGACCAGGCTATCCCGGCCCCAAAAAGGCATTGTTCGTAATTATCCGAATTGAGCGTGAAATTCCAAGCAGGTGCGATTCGTGAGGTCGTGCTGA